GCTATTAGAGATCTTTGGAAGGCAAAACAGAATGTAATAAAGTATTATTTGTCAAATCAACAACTAAATGGTCATCATCACTAAACATGAATGGTCAAAAACAAGATAAATTTGTCAGCAAACCAAAGCGACTAATATGTCATTATTGCAAATTGCCAGGTCACATTGTAAGAAATTGTGAGAAATGGCATTCTGATGGTAGACCAGCCAAACCAAGAAATAACAATCTACGCGATGACAATAAGTCACTAGTTGTTATGGAATCAAGTGTTTTTGCAATTGATGAGTCAGCGTACACTGATGAATGGTTTTTTGACAATGGTGCAACGTGTCATCTAACTTTCTGAAGAGACATATTTCAAAGTTTTAAAAAATTTTCTCAACTGAGTAAATTATATGTTGCAAATGGTGATACTGTAGAAGCCTTTGGAAAAGGAATTATTCATCTTCAAGTGAAAGTGAATAATAAATGGCAAACTGTTAAACTTACAGATGTCTTGTATGTGCCAAAAGTAAAAAGAAATTTGTTCTCAGTACTTGCAACTCAAGATAAGAACAGAAATAGCTCTTTTGTTTCAACCTCAAGAAGTTGTCATCTACTTATTGACAATGTGATAAGTGTTGTTGGAATAAGAAACAACAATGGAGGTTTGTTCAAACTTGTTGCAAAAACTGTTAGACCGTTAAATTCTGAAATCGAAGTTAACTTTGTCAATGATCAAGATGCATTGCAGTTATACCATGAACGAATGGGACATCGGAATAAGAAACATGTTAAAATGGTCATGAAACGTGAACTAAACATCGATATACCTGTAGACAGTGAATTATGTGAAGGATGTGTCTATGGAAAGTTACATCGATTGAAATTTGGAACTCGAGTAAGAGCAACAAGACCAGGAGAATTAATTCACACAGATGTATGTGGTCCTTTTTGCTTCTCATTTCAAAATTACAGATACTTTGTTTTGTTCAAAGATAATTTCACAGGCTACAGATTTGTTTACTTTGTTAAACAAAAATCAGATGTACCAGAAAGACTCAGACAAATGCTTGCAGAGTCAAGATCAGCTGGTCATAAAGTCTCAGAAGTATTAAGTGACAATGGAGGTGAATTTGACAACAAAGAAGTCAGATCAATTTTGCAAAAAGAAGGAGTTAGACAACGCCTAACTATGCCTTATACACCTCAGCAGAATGGATGCAGTGAGCGTGATAATCGAACGCCAGTTGAAGCAGCAAGAGCCATGAGACTGGCTCATGAAGAATTGCCTCAGGCCCTTTGGGCTGAATTAATTAATACTGCTGCTTACATACTCAACCGAACTGGACCATCTTCTGTAGAAGGAAAATCACCGTATGAAGTGTGGTTTAACAAGAAACCTAAGATAACACATCTACGAATCATTGGTAGCAGAGCCTATGTTCATATTCCTATGCAGAAACGACGTAAAATGGATACTAAAGCTGTAAAGGGTATCCTCGTTAGATATGAAGGTGACGATGGCTACAGAATTTTTGTTCAACCAGGAAATAAAATGCATCGATCAAGAGATGTTATTTTTGATGAGAAGGTTGTCAAACCTAATTCAGTGATTTTGCAAGAAGAAAGTTGTTCAAATAATACAGTTTCGATTGATTTTGAAATCAAAGATGAAAATAAAGAAACTTTGATTAAAGAAAATATTTCAACTGATGAAGAGGTTCACAACCGTAGTTCAGTTTCATCTGATGAAGAAGATCAATCTGACTGTTGTAATCAAAAGACCAAAGGTATGGTTTTACGTAACAGGAATAATATCAAAAAGCCATCTCGTTATGATCCTTACGTCATGTCTGCATTATGTGAAGTACTTGAACCAGAGAGCTACAAAGATGCCATTCAAAGTAATGAAAAAGATGAATGGTTTAAAGCTATGAACAGTGAAATGCAGTCATTAAAGGAAAATCAAACGTGGGATTTGGTAAGTCTTCCAAAAGGTCATAAGGCAATACCATGCAAATGGGTCTACAAGGTAAAACACAATCCAGATGATTCTGTTGAACGTTTTAAAGCCAGGCTAGTGGTAAAAGGTTTTTCTCAGAAAAAGGGAATTGACTATGAAGAAACCTATAGTCCTGTGGTCAGAAGTTCAACTATAAGAACACTATTAAGTGTTGCTGCAAATGAAAAGATGTCACTCATGCAGTTTGATGTGTCAACAGCATTTCTTTACAGCAAACTAGATGAAGATATTTACATGGAGCAACCTGAAGGTTTTAAAGATAATTCAGGAAGAGTCTGTAAACTCAAGCGAAGTCTCTATGGACTTAAACAAGCTCCAAGATGTTGGAACAAACGCTTTGCTGAATTCTTGAAAAAGAGACATTTCAAACAAAGCGATGCAGATACGTGTTTGTTCATTAGAATACAGGGAGGAAAGAAACTCATACTTGCACTGTATGTTGATGATGGATATATATATAGATGTGATTTTTTTTAGAAAGAACGTAATGACGACAAAAACGCCATCTCAGGTAATGGAAACGTTAATGACATTAGCCACGACAGAATCTCTCTTAACATCAATAACACAACTGCAACAAAAGTATTTCATTTTTTACTGATGATTTTTATAGACTGAAATGGAGGAACATGAAGAGGACAATAGTTCTCTCCAATGGTGCTTGAAGACTTTCATTTTCTGTGATCTAATGACAAACGGAATTATGTAAATTCTTACATCTAACAACTTTAAATTTGATGCTTGAAGTTTTTTAATAAATTTTGGTTATCCAAAACAAGTTTTTTGAAATAAATTAAATATAAGAGTTGGTACTATGAAATGTTTTTTTTAAAATAAAAATAAAATAACATATGAATGTTATTTGCAAAAAATGATAACAGTTCAACAAGTAGATCTAATTTCGAAAAATGAGCTCCTTTGGAGGGTGATAATAAATTATTCTAAACTCGATTTATCTGCCGTTTAAAATTTCATTTGAATTCTGGTTCAATTGCGAGTTTTTTTGGAATCAAAAACTCACCATCAAGTGCTCTAGCCATTAACCAGTACAAAGCAAAAAATAATAATTTAGTCAAATTAATAAAAACAAAATGCATCTTATGACGCAAAATAGATGAGATAATAAATTCCTATGCATTCCAAGCCTCATCGGAATATCAGGCAATGAGTAAGCAGACGTCTTAAAGCGGTAGAAAGTCATAATCAACCCATACCAGATTTCCAATTCCAATCAACTTGGTTATTAATAGACATGTTCAAAAATTATGGCAGAACAGGTGGAAATGAACAATAATCACTTCTTCCCCTGCAAATTATACGGGATAATGATAGGGCTTACTAATATAACTCACAATTACTAACTGAACAAAACAGACCCTCCAGCTTGCATATACTGTCAAAACATTTTAACAATAAAGCATTTATTCTCATGTAAAATTCCAAAAATATCAGAACTAAACATTTTATACCTGAAAATATCTTTAACAACTTTAAATCCACAATAAGCGATATTAAATTTTATGGCTCCAAACTAGAGGTCTACGCGAGAACACATTTCTGTTTCCCCACCTGCCTCTCCTGAAAATGAATTTTACCTCACCCGCACTCATTCCCTCACAAGTCTTCCCTCACCCGCACTCATTCCCTCACAAATCCTCATTTTCCCGCACTCATTCCCTCAATAATTATATCATTTTTAAAAAAGACAATAAAGTATCCTTAGTCAGAGTATTATGTAATACATTCCATGTACCATTTTTATTATAAAAACAAAAATACTGGTTAATAACAGTTAGTGTTTCAGTAAATTGTTTTTAAATTTTATACAACTCCTTGACAGTTGAGAAAAAGCAAAATGAAAATAGAACTCGCTGATCACGTATTTATCTGTGTAAACAGCTGATAAAGACAGATTCGGTATTCAAGCTGCATACTTAATGTTGTGTTTTGCTGATTTGAAGAGTTGAAACACAAACTAAATAGAAACCAATAAGCGTAATGTACGTATACTAATTTATTACATAAAATAAATATAACGTTCTATAACCAAACGAATTGAAACGAATTGAACGAACTAAAAAGCATGTCACAGTAAAAGTAACATTGTACATTAATTATCGCCCAAAAACAAATAGAATAAATAGTGATGTGCCCTGCACATAACACTTGATATAATTGGTCACGTGTCCTTTCGTGTTATCACAATGAATATTATTTAGCGTAATGCATATGCATCTGTGAGCTTGCTTAGCTTTAAACCTAGTAATAATCTAACTTTTTCAATTGCGTCGCTGTTCAAGCTATGAAGTTTTTCATTAATTTTCAACATTTTTGGAACTTCGCCATCAAGTCAACTTAAATTTTTCCCGTCCCGCGGTACTTCCCGCACGAAAAATATCCGTCCAGCGGTTTTCCCTCGCTTTTCATTCCCGCCCCGCAAGTTTCCCTCCAACTTCTGTTCCCAACCCGCAGTTTTCCCGCGGGTATTTGCGGGAAAATTTGCGGAAAATTTTCCATGTAGACCTCTACTTCAAACCGATAGCGTAATTTTTAAATATCCTTCTTGGCACATCATAGCAGCAAAAATGGAGTTGAAATGCCGTTTAATGCTAAAACCACATCAGATTTAGCGATGGAATCAAATAATAGGTATTTCTTGCATAAAATAAAATTTTATTACCTCAATGTAGTATTATACACAAAATCCGCAACTCAAATTGTGAACTTGGTAGTAATTATTGTAGATAATTAAAAAATGTTTCAAAGTAACTTTCAAAAATGAGTTTTTTCAATCAATTCCTCTGACAAACAACATAACGTCCGTACAAAAAATAAAGATTTTTATTCATTTATTCATTCATCCATTCATTCATTTATTCATTGATTTGCTTGTTTGTTCATTCATTCATTCAATCATTCACACTTTTCAGAAGCAATTCCATATACACATTGTTTTGTGATCTTAGTACGCATCATTCAACGTCTTTTGTTAGATTAATTAGGGAGAATAAGGCGTGATGTGGTCACACTGTAAGGAAGTATGATTGCTGTGGCCACGATGATGTTCACTTCAATGCTACTCTATCCGGTATGATGATAAAGATAATGATAATGGAGATGATAATGAAGATAATAATGTGATGGCTATATGATGGGGGTGGTAGAAGTAAAGATGATCATAGCGACGAAGAAGATGATGTTGAGGCGGAGGAAGACGGAAAAATAAAACTAACAACTGTAAACAATATAAAAAAAACCTCTTCTTTCTTTTGAAAATAGATATATCGAATGTGAAAAAGTTCTTCTAGCTGTGAAATCGACGACTTTACGAGAACAACAACGAACAAAAAAGTTGCGTGTAAACAACTAAAATGCCAAAACACACCAAACAATTTATTCCAAACAATCGATAACACGACAAACATTTTAATAACTAGAACAGCATCGACAGTGTAGAAACATTAATGGAATCTATTTGTGGCCTAGGCACTGTGTGATGAGTGGAGCGTGATAATGTGTTGATTGTTTTGTGTTCTGTGTAGTGGCTTGCATGTGTTGAGGAGTGTGTGTGTGTGTGTGTGCGTTCGTGTGTGTGTGTCTTATCTTATCTATTGTATGGTGTTGTGATGTGGTGTGTCTGCTGAGCGTTACATGATGTTTTCTTAAGTTGTTGTCTCGCGTAGTTGTGTACTGTTGTGTGCTTCACGCTTTAGAGCCTTGTGATTGATGCAGCGTAGTCATCAATAAAAAATCAATCAGAACGGCGTTTATTTGTAATGAAAAATTTGCTCCTATAGTTTGTTTTATTATTCTTTAAAAATCAGGATCTGACAGACGCCGAAACTGTTACAGCATGCAAGGCAAAATTAAACAATTAAGTAAATAAATAAATAAAATACGGAGAAAAAAAATGTTTTAACGTGAAAAATAAAATAAAATAGAATAAAATAAAATAATAATAAATTTCCTCTTCTTGGTTCTGTTTTTATTGTATACCAGAACAATTTTTAAGAAAAACTATTTGACGTGTTTTTTACTCAGTGCACTAATAGGGTACAATGAAATAAAAAATCTTAGTGAAAAAAATCCTTTCCGCCGATGTTTCCAATATTAACAGAAGTTATAATGCATTTCAGGAATCAGCATGTCGTAAACTCAAAATTTATGTTTGTAGGAACTTTCATGTTCCTCATGGATTCATTCACCTTCTCTTTTTAAAATATGCACATTGGCGATACCACATGACAAGCTGTCCAACCTGACGGGACGGATGAACCGCTCAGCTTGAAATATAATTTCTCAAACTTTACTCAATACTCAATAGTCATTGTGAAGTCGTTTTTACGTTGTCATGTTTGAATATACATATAAATGCATTCATGTATTTGAATATAAATGTATAAATGTATGTATATATGTATATATGTATGTATGTATGTATGTATGTATGTATGTATGTATGTATGTATGTATGTATGTATGTATGTATGAATGTATGTTAAAACCAAAACATGATGAGTGACACTGAACCGTCAAACATCAAGTAACAAATGGATTAACACTTTGATTTGTCGTTAATTGTACATGTCGGCATTCAGTTGGATATTTTCAAGCACACAGACACGCAGGAACCGCTGCAACAAGCCCGAAATGTGGTTAGTTGCGAAAAACAGTTCCCTGCTGTCGCCTGATCTGACGCTGATCATTTTACATATTGCCTTAAGAAATTTAAGGGTGTTGGGGTCCATCGGGCCGAGAACCTCGATACATATTGGCAAGAATTCCATCGAGGGGAGGGCGTTCCCATATTTTTTCATTTTCTCGTCCGCTGCCCTGGCCGTGGCCAAACCGCATTCTTTACTTGTCAGGTTTACGTATTGTTCGGCAAGGGTGCCAGGGACCATAACATCCCACGCCAAACATCTGCCGGCTCTCCAAGGTATTAGTGTGCATCCGTCCGGACGCCTACCATCATGCGCAGAAATGCCGGATGGTTCCTTGAGAACCGGGATTGAAGCCTTGAAGAAGAGCCGACAAATGTATTCGTTTAGCGCTGAGTGACGTAGTTGACGGCCCCCACCCAGGCGACAAACCAAACCGTGGTGCCCAAACTCGTCCGCCCCTGCGCCCCTGCGCCACATCGGCACGTGTATTTATTCTGAATGACCAGGCCAAGTCTGGCAAATCTAATATGTATGTATGTTTGCGTGTATGTATGTATGTATGTATGTATGTATGTATGTATGTATGTATGTATGTATGTATGTATGTATGTATTTTTTTTTTCAATTCAAACAAACTTTTATTCAGTAAAAGTAAAAAATACATTACTAGGAGACCCGAAGTTTTCACTTGTTGGGCCACCAAAAAGAAAACATTTAAACCAAAAATTCGACAAATTTAAAAAAAAAAATGTGTTGATAATAACTGAAAAATAAAGATTATATTATGATAAGAGATAAACATAGCGTTATTGCCAACTTCTAGCAGAAAAAAAAATGCAAATTCAGAATAACAAAAACATTATGATAATAAATAAATATAAATTAGAAAAAATAAATGTTCAACTATTTATAAAAGAATGAAAGTGATCAGCCAAAATCAGTTGATAAATTGAATTCTTAAATAGACTAAGCGTGTTTGAATTTTTTACGTTACTCGGTAATAAATCCCAGAGTCGACATGAAACATGAAAAACTGAGTTAATAAAAAAGTTTGTGCGAGGTTTTGGAAAATAAAAGTCTCTGGTATTTCTTAAAATTCTAGAACGATCATCCATCAAGTGATTTAGTTGATTGCGTAATGAAGGACAATAATTGAGTTTGTACAGTTTATAAAAAAACGTTAAAGTATAAAGAATATGTAATTGAAAAACTTTTAAAATTTTAGATGAAATAAATAAATGACTGACATGATGAGATTTTGTTAAACCATACAAAATACGAATAAAAAAATTTTGATGTATGTATGTATGTATGTATGTATGTATGTATGTATGTATGTATGTATGTATGTATGTATGTATGTATGTATGTTAAAACCAAAACATGATGAGTGACACTGAACCGTCAAACATCAAGTAACAAATGGATTAACACTTTGATATGTCGTTAATTGCACATGTCGGCATTCAGCTGGATATTTTCAAGCACACAGACACGCAGGAACCGCTGCAACAAGCACGAAATGTGGTTGGTTGCAACAAACAGTTCCCTGCTGTCGCCTGATCTGACACTGATCCTTTTGCCTATTTTCTTGAGAAATTTAAGGGTGTTGGGGTCCATCGGGCCGAGAACCTCGATGCATATTGGCAAGAATTCCATCGAGGGGAGGGCATTCCCATATTTTTTCATTTTCTCGTCCGCTGCCCTGGCCGCGGCCAAACCGCATTCTTTACTTGTCAGGTTTACGTATTGTTCGGCGAGGGTGCCAGGGACCGTAACATCCCACGCCAAACATCTGCCGGCTCTCCAAGGTATTAGCGTGCATCCGTCCGGTCGCCTACCATCATGCGCAGAAATGCCGGATGGTTCCTTGAGAACCGGGATTGAAGCCTTGGAGAAGAGCCGACAAATGTAATCGTTTAGCGCTGAGTGACGTAGTTGACGGCCCCCACCCAGGCGACAAACCAAACCGTGGTGCCCAAACTCGTCCGCCTCAGCGCCACATCGGCACGTGTATTTATTTTGAATGACCAGGCCAAGTCTGAAGCCAATGGCAAATCTTACAGACTCGTCGTCAAGCCTGGTGCCCACAGAGGTGTTAGGCCACGATCTCAACCACCCACAGCTGGCAACGCTGGACATGGCCAACAAACGAGCGGTGGAAAAGTCGTTGCCGCATGAAGACAACAAATTTTGAAAGATTTTTTTATATTCTTCGTTCAAAATCTGGACGTGCGTACGGTCCCCCGGGGCGGACGCTGGGGGAAGAATATTGCGGCAACGAAAAAACCGGTGGAGCAGGAAAGACTGTAGGTCGAGAGTGGCAGCGGCAGAAGAATTATAAACAACGGGAGCCAGCTGAACCACGCTAAGCAACCCCAGCCCACCAAATCGCACCGGCAGCTGAGCCTGGGACCAACTACTGTCGGTCACTTGAACATTGCAAATCGACGACAGGGCGGTGCGCAGGGCTCCGTCAAATTCGCCCAATTTAGAAGGGTCAATGTGTTTAGATGTACGCAGGAAGTACATCAATTTGGGCAAACTGAGGGCATTGCGGATAATAGTCAAGGCATCATGGGCCGAAAGACAGGAAACACGACCCAGGGCGAATTCAAGCTCAGAGAGCTTTTGGTCAGAAAACTTTATTTGATAATCGCCCTCGACCAAGGGTGTGCCTAAAAAACTCAGTTCTGATGCACCAACTCTGGGTATTTCAGCCAGCGCATGTGGCACCTGAAATAAACTTTGGCAGTGAAGTTCGCATTTTTTAATGTTTAACTCTAAGCCAATTGCAGCGGAGTTATGCTTCAAATATTCGTAGCTATCGGCCAGAGTGG